ATAAAATAATTATGTCAGTTGACATAGTTGAGACCTAGCATGTTCCTACTGAGCTAATGGATTAAAACCCACAAAGTAAAAGTTCATTTCCATTTGCATTGGATTAAACTGAATGCTTATTCCTGAACAAACTGCTATGACCATAAAAATAATCATGCTGTTTGGATTAGGCAGATCATTGGCAAAAGAAAGTAGAAATTACTATGATTGTCTAAGTTTCCTTAGTGTACCCCAAACTGAATGGTGGCTAAACAGGAAATGCTGGAATAGATATATTCTGACAGCCATATTGACAGCTACATACTTTCAAACCAGTCAACTCAGTCCCCATAGTTTCATTGAGAATCCATGCAGTGAACACATTAGCTGAATTTGTCCCAGTAAAGCCACTCTCATCGCCTTCGTGCCCATTTATTACAGTTGCCTCTCTGCCTCTCCTCCTTCTATCCCTCCTGTCATTTCCTATTAAACTCACATGTAGATCATTATTCCCCCACTTTATATCCTTCAGTGGTTGGCTATTGAACTTAAAATACAAACTCTTTAAGACAGCCCTCCATAAAATCAAGTGCCTGCCTTCCTCTTCTATTTATACCACTTCTCCTTGGTTTCAGCCTTCTACTGGCCTTCCGTGTACCAAATTCGTTGTAATCTCAGAGTCTTCATATGTGCTGTTCCTTTTCAACTTTTTCTTATAAACAACTTACATTGAAAGCTGTAGAAAACTGCAGCTCGTAAAATACAACCTAATGAATTGTTAGAGTGAATATACCAGTATTAACAGCAGGTTGAGCAGAACCTCATTACCAGCTCTCCAGGAGAACCGCTCCTTCACAATGGTTTCCAGCAAGACCTGAAAGTCACTGTGCTGACATTTAAATCATATTTTGCTCAGTGTCTTTCAGTCAATGTTAAATATAGAAGGTTATCCACAATGTAGTAGTCAGCAGTGGTTCACTCCACTATCATAGTCTGGTAATTAGCTGTTTAGTTGATATGTGCTTTATTTTTAACTCGCTGTTATGAATGACAGTAATATCAGCAACCCTTGGCATGTTTTGTGGTACATACAGACACAGGTCTGCTGGAAATATATATTCTTAGGAATGGAGTTGCTAGGTCACAGGATATATGTGGATATATGTTTATTGCCAGAGCTTTTTTTTTTTTTTTAATTTTTTGAGACACAGTCTCCCTGTAGTCCCAATTGGCCTAGAACTCACTATGTAGACCAGGCTGGTCTCAATCTCACAGAGGTCCACTTGCCTCAACCTACTGAGTGCTGGGATTAAAAGCATGTGCCACCATGCCCGGCTGGCCTAGAACATTTTTATCTCCACTCTTCCTTTGCCTATTTTCTCATTTATTAACCAGATTTCAGTGGAAAGGTCATTTCCTCTGTCAGACTTAACTCTAACTTCTATCCTACCATCAATAAACAGTTTTAGATAGGGCCTGTTATAATGTTTATAACTCCTTTACAGTTTGTTGTTGTGGGGATTATACCCAGTGCCATGTACCTCTACCAGAGTTACATCCCTAGTCCTTTTTAAAGTTTTTAAGACAGGTTCTTGCTAAATTGCCTCTACCAACCTTGAACTTTTGATCCTCCTGCCTTAGCCTCCCATTAGTTACTACCATGCCCAGCTGTTTGCCATAATTTGGCATTTGGTTATATAATGCCTGTCTTCCTCACCTGACTTTTAAGGAACCTAGAATCTTGCTAAGATCCTCATTTATAGTAGACATTCACTAAATGCTTGCTGAGTAAATAAAAAGCTTTTTTTTCCTGAAGTGTCACTAAGATTTGGATGTATAATGTATGTAGAACACTAATTGGACAATATAATGTCTTCTATCTGTAGTTTTGATTTTTTAATTATATAAAAAAATCTTTATCTTCTGAATTATTTGTTGTATGTGTGATGAAACAGAAAGCAGCTTTACTGATGGCTAGTCATATGATCTTAGATGAATCACATAATTGCTAGTCTTTTTCTTCTGAAAATGAGAAGCCTAGACTACATGATCTCTAGCATCCTCTGAGCCAGAGGATTTACCAGAATGCTATTTGCATGCAAAGAAGTTGACCACAAATTGCCATGCATGCAACCACAGGCAAATTGTGATTCTGGAAACAGCATTCTAATGTGCAGTCTGCCCCCCTCCTCCATTTTTTAACTTGATTTTGATATGTAGCCTAGTATGTGGTATGTAGCCTGAAATTCCTGTGTAGCCCATGCTGGTCTTGAACTCACAGTCCTCCTACCTCCAAGAATGCTGGAATTACAGGAGTGCCCATGCTTTATTGATAATCTGTAGTTTGGTCTTCTGCCTCAACTGGGGAAGTACAATCTAATCTTAGTCTGGAAAGGTGGAGACACATTGGATAGCAGGACATTTGTTGAGTAGCTTTATTCTTAGTTTGACATATCTTAGTTTGGCACACAGATATGTTTTTGAGACAGGGTAGCCCTGTCTGTAGCCCCACCTGTCTGGGAACTCACTATGTAAACCAGGCTGGCCTTGATCTCAGGGAGATTTACCTGCCTTTGCCTCCAGAGTGCTGGGACTAAAGGTGTGTGTCACCACACCTGGTTAAAAAAAAGCTCTGACAGTTCCTTCCACACTATGATCAGCCTGTGAAGCAAACATGGTAGAATAAAGCATCTATAGCTCTGTAGAAGAAATACTTAGAAACCATGTTTTCTTTTATGAAGTTAAAGTGTGTTGAGTTAAAAATACACATGATTTTTAAATTTATTTCACTAGTTCATTGAACATGTAATAATGAAACCCATCCTGAATGCTAGGACAGGAACTAGGTAAAGTTATTTCACCTATGCAGTCTCTCTCTGACCGCCCCCTTCCCTCTCCCTCTCCATCTCCTGAAAAATTCATGAAAACACCTAGCTTAGTATTACTATCATAATATCACAGAGATAATATACAAGTACTAAAGTGGAACTACGATTTTAAATTGTTTGCAATATTTTGAGAGGAACTAAGAATTCCTAACAGAGAATGCAATCTCATCCACTCCTTTCTTGTAGCCTAAGTGTGTGCGTGCACTCTGTGTGTGTGTGTGTGTGTGTGTGTGTGTGTGTGTGTGTGTGTGTATCCAGGTAATACAAATAACTAAACATCTTGGCATTTACCTACATTATTCGAGTTGGGTGACAGTAAAATAGATGGATCTTGATCAGGCCTGATGGTATGTTAGTCATGTTATTTTGAGCACATTAATGAGAATAGTTAATATTATAGTATGAGAATATTTTGTTTCATAATTAAGTTTAAAAGAGATTTTGCATTTTATAACAATATAATAACTTAATATTAAGTTACATTTTTTAACTCTTGCTGACTGCTGTTACTGAACCCAAATGATGATTTTTGCTGACACTGATACACCCATAATTCCTGTTACTATATCAGTCATGCCACCTGTAAAACTCTTGAATAATATCTGTCCTGGAAACCATATCTTCTGTCATGAGAAATATGAGTTTGTTCAGTATTTGCTTTTGTGTGTACATTTTACATGTTTTGTTTTCTTTTAAAATAAATTCAGTGCCTTGCAAATGTTAGGGAAGTGTTCTGCCACTGAGATAAACTCCCAGCCCCACCAATGGTACTCTTGATGAGGTAGTAGTATTTAAAGGAAGAAAATCTGTTTTACTTTAGAAAATGTGAGTAAATTTACGTTGTAAATTTACATATTTGTATTGAACCATAAGTGTAGCTGTTCTATAAACACATGAAGCAGTGTAATACCAGGACCTCTAGGGACCTGGAATGAGATATAAACCCTGTTACTTTAGTGGTGTGATAGAATTCTTCCCTGCTCTGGTGTTTTGTGGGATGGTTAGTGAAAGTTCCACACTTAATTGATGTATCAGTTGAGTGAGTTTTTAGTCTTAATCTGTGCTGCCAACACCTGAGCACAACTAAGTGGTAAGCACAACTCACTGGATGGTGAAAGTGAGATCACGAGGAAGAAGGCCTAAGAGTAGATAGTCTGTAGAAAGGTAAAGCAAATGGGGAAGGAAGATACTCTAGAACTCTGGAGAACTCTAAGGCAGAAGAAGAGAGTCCCTAATTTGAAGTAGCAAGGAATATTAGGCAGAGCAGTGGGTTGAGAAGGGCCCTATTAGCAGCAGTAGAGATAGGTAGGAAGTGGGAAGCTCAGCAGTCTGCTTACTTGAGTTCTTCCAGAGGTGCTCAAATTTTGTATTGCGGATAGAGGAGGTCAGGGAAAAGGACAAGTGCAGGAGACAGGGAAGCAGAGTGAACTGGCAAGCCAAGAATTGAGTTGGGTGGGAATAGGGAGAGGAGGGCAGTAGAGTTGGACAGAAACCCAGATGAATGAAGAAGAGGACCATACCTTTCTGAATTTCAGAGTTCAGATGCACAATTTGAAATTGTTCTTTGAAATACTAGATCGGTTCATACTTCTTTGGTTCTTTGTTCTATTTTAAATGTATGTCTCCTAAGTACTAGGAAGATTTTTCCTTTAAAGTTTCAGGAAAATTTTGTTGTTGCTGTTTCATTCTTGTTTTTGTTTTTTTTTTTTTTCTTTCAACAGGATAAGCATAATAGTCTGCTCCAGGGAAATTATTCTGTGAGTTGTACTCATTAGCAAGATAACAGTAGCTTTATAGCATAAAAAATATGATAGAGGTCAGACTGAAGACTTCCCCATTGCTGTACTAAACCTTGTGGTCGGTATTGCTAATGCTTGTATTGTGTACATGCTTTAGAAGTTTCTATGTTCAAGCACTAGTCCCATTGTCAAAGATAAATGCATCTCTAAAGCAGGTCAGATCAACAATAGAATATGTGTTAATAAATAGTGCGAGACAAGCCCTTACGTAATAATATATTGATGTTAAGACTATTTCATTTAGAAATTTTTGTTCAAATTCTGTCTTTATTACTAAATAGCATCTGATGTTTCCAATCATTTTTCTTCATCTAAAACTTTTTTTTAAAAACAGCATCTGCAGAAAAAGAGGCAATTAAAAGTACATTTACCAAAGTACTAGACGCATATGGACTCCTGGGTGTTTTACGGTTGAATCTTGGTAAGTTTGTTATTCATCATGATTCTTATTTGAGTTCTGTTTTTATAATTCTAAGGATTAGAGAGAGACTGCCTATGTCATTTCAGATGCCATGTTTAAGCTTTAGTGTTGTAGTTCTTTTAACGTTAATTAGGCTAATCTTAGGATGTTTCTTGCCCAGAGAGACATGCAGCATTCTTAAGTTCTTGTGGTTTTTAAGTTCAAGAGATGGTATCATGTTTAAACAGGTTTAAAAAAAAAAATCAGAGCATTACCTTTTTTCTTTGCTTCTTTCTTAGTATATTTAGGAATAGGTGTCTTCCTGGGAGCCACACTGATTTCCCTGGTTTATAGTAGAAAAGACATCTGTTTTGGATGCAGAAGGGCTCAGCTTGAGCCTCTGTCTACCACTTAATGTTACCATAGGCTTCAGAGTAACGTTCATTAGCAGTAAAGTTATGACTTGAAGTGTGGCACAAAGACCAATGCTGGTTCATGTTTTACTACCAGTTTATGGGAAAGTAGACTTGTACCAGCATATTTATCCAACACATGGTTTTTAAAAAAAAGTAAACTAGCCAGACATGGTGGCGCACGCCTTTAGTCCCAGCACTTGAGAAGCAGAGGCAGGCAGATCTCTGAGTTCGAGGCCAGCCTGATCTACATAGTGAGTTCTAGGCCAGCTGGAACTACAGGGAGATGCTGTCTCAAAAAGACAACAACAAAAAAAAGTAAACTAAAGGTGAGTTTTAGTTATGTAGTAGATTTCTCTTATGATACAGATACCTTTTCTCATTTTGTGATGCTGACAATTGATAGACTCTGCTTTGAGCAACACTGGTCTATAAGATGGAGACCATTTATTATTAATCTATCAAGTGCAAAGACTGCCTGGGTGCTGTACTGATATTGTCTTAATTGTAATCCTGACATAAACAGTTTTATAAAAATTTTAAAATTATTTTTTATGTGTATAAGTGTTGTTAGATTTAGGAGAGCAGAAAAAGGAAGGAGTTTAAGGTTAAGAAATAAGAACCAAAACCAGACCTGCAACAGGCAAGGAATATGTTCCTTTATTTAGGAGAACAAAGCAAAGGGCCTCTGCCATCTTCAGAAACAGGCATCAGCAAAGAAAGGCAGAGCAATCTGGACTTACATAGAATTCTGCTGAATGCAGCTGCAGGAATTTGCTCAGTGTCAGGTGTCAGTGTCCTTGGGGGTAATTAAGGGTCTTCTTCCTGAAGTTATTTTCTCAGACTCAGTAGGCAAGTTATCTTATGGTACCAAAGGAGTTAGATTGACTCTGTAAACAGCCGGGGGGGCGGGCAGTGATCAGTTGATAAGTCTTGAGCAAAGGCCAGGCAGGAGTTAAGCTGACCCCGTAAACTGTTTCTGTCATCCAGGGAAGTGACCAGTTGATAAGACTTGAGCAGAGGCCAAGTTGCCAATTTGGGCCATTTGGCCACCTTGAGGAATTTGTCCTTATGGCTTCCTTTAAGGAAGCTTATGGCTGTCCTGCAATTTACACATTCTATCAAGTGTTTTCTCTGCATGTATGTAAGTGCACCCATATGTGCATGCAGAGGCCAGGAGAGAGCATTGGATCCCCTAGAACTGGAGTTGTACATGGTTGTTAGCTGCCATGTGGGTTCTGGGAACCGAACCTCAGCCCTCTACAAGAACAGCAAGTGCTTTTAGCTTCTGAGCCATCTCTCTAGCCCCAAGATAAATGTTTTAATTCCTTTTCATAAGGCTGGTCATGCTAACATACTGAATTTAGTCTGGATAACACATAACGGAACCATAATTCAGGGCCACTTCTGCCTGCGCCAGAGCCATGTTGCTGACTTTCAACTTCATACTAATTTCTTTGTTGCAATTACGTGATAAAAATGTTTGAGTGGAGTATAATGGTGTGTGCTGGGAATCCTAGCATTTGGGAGGTAAAGTCAGGAGGATCATGAGTTTGGCCTGGACCACATAGTGAGACCCTGTCTCACCCCATCCCACCACCACAAAAAAAAAAAAAACGCACAAAATATGAACCAAATCACTTTATAAATTGTCACCAAGACTTATTTTCATATGCCATCACCTTCAGCTCAAATTTTTATATGACATTTTAAATTTTTTGTTTGTTTGGGTGTTTTTGAGACAAAGTCTCGCTATGTAAACCCAGGCTGGCCTTGAGCTCACAAAGACCTTGCCTGCCTCTTTCTACTGAGTGCTGAGCTTAAAGGCCTGGCTTGGCATTTCTAAACCAAATCACTTTATAAATTGTCACCAAGACTTATTTTCATATGCCATCACCTTCAGCTCAAATTTTTATATGACATTTTAAATTTTTTGTTTGTTTGGGTGTTTTTGAGACAAAGTCTCGCTATGTAAACCCAGGCTGGCCTTGAGCTCACAAAGACCTTGCCTGCCTCTTTCTACTGAGTGCTGAGCTTAAAGGCCTGGCTTGGCATTTCTAAACTTTACCATTTACAGAAGTTGCAGTTTATTGTTTTATCCAAACTTCTGTTCATCCTAAGGGAAGGTAGCGAAGGCAACCTATTTTTTTGATAATTTTATAGCCTCAAAGTAAGTATAGAAAGAAGTTTGTAAATGCGACATTGTGTATGCTTTAATGTTTTAAATGTATTTAAACAAGGATTTTCCCCCTATTAAAAAAATAAACCTCTGGTTGTAAGGTTAAACATGTCCATAAGTTTAAAATAACCCCAATGGTCAAATGTACTATACACCTATAGAATCCTTGCATTTGATAGGCTGAGGCAGGAGGATTAGAAGTTCAAGGCCAGCCTAGGTACCATAGCAAGGCTGTCTCAACAACAACAACAAAATTATCAGATTTTAAAAGTGAAAACATGGACTGGAGAGATGGCTCAGCTGTTAAAAGCACTTGGGCTCTTGCAGAGGACCCAGGTTTGATTCCCAGCACCTACATGGCAGCTAGCAACCCTCCATAACTCCAGTTCCAGGGAATCCAACACTCTCTTCTGACCTCCTAGGGCATTGCATGACATGGGTGCGCCTACCTACACGCAGGTAATACCCTCATACACATAACATAAAAATAATAAAATATTAAAAGAAAATAAAAAATGGAAATGCAAGAAAGAAGAAACTACAAAGCTTGAAAATGTTAAGATATTTATTCACTTTGCAGGTGATACCATGTTACATTATTTGGTCCTTGTCACTGGATGTATGTCTGTTGGAAAAATTCAAGAATCTGAAGTTTTCCGAGTTACTTCCACTGAATTTATATCACTCCGAGTTGATGCTTCAGATGAGGATCGTATTTCAGAAGTACGAAAAGTTTTGAACTCAGGAAACTTTTATTTTGCATGGTCTGCATCTGGAGTCAGTTTAGATCTGAGTCTTAATGCACATCGCAGCATGCAAGAACACACAACTGACAATAGATTTTTCTGGTGAGTCTGTATTTCATTTTTCCCTTATGTATGGTATATAACTTGGGGATTTGGGACATGATGTGGCTATTTCCAGAGAGAGCAAAGGATGGATTTTGCTGTTTGAATGTGAACCTCTCTCCTGCTTGTGAGTCCTCAGTAGAGCATGATAGTCTGTGAAGGCCTGACCTCAGCTCTGAGTTGACTCAACTCAGAGCTGAGCTCAGGCCTTCACAATAGTCAACCATTGTCAGCTTATTGATGTTGGCATGTCTTCCTGGTCTAGACTGATATTTCATTTCAGAAATATGCTCAACATACTTAAGTTTGAAAATTACTTATTTGTAGTACAATTGTGTCACTCATTAATCTTAGTTTTGTGATCTTGTCTCTCACATTATCCTTCTAAGCCAATATTCCCTTATTATTTTCAATTTTAAGATTGTAAGTAGACGAACCTTCTTTCTTTGGGGCTTTGTGCATACTAGACAGGTGAGCATTTTCCTAGGCTGAGTAGATGGTCTTGATTTAAGAGCAGCAGGCTGTGAAGAAATATTGTATTGGGACAAAGTCCAGCACTGCAGGAAATACAGTTAGGTAGGTATCATTGTGTATTACATGATGGTATGTAGCTGTGCTGTACTATAGGCAGGTACAAATGGTGAGCAGAACACATCAGACTAAGAGTAATATGGCTTTATTGTAGCAGACCAGATTTCTGATAACAGTGCTTCTATTGTCTATAACCAGCACCAATAATGACTTTTCTCTTTAATGTACATAGAAATTGTATTTCATTATATTAATATACATTATAAGGTGAAAGCCACAGGACACTGCTCTTGGCTTCCCTCAGTAGTTCAGATTCAAGGCATTGCCTTGTGTATCTTCTCTCTCTCTCTCTCTCTCTCTCTCTCTCTCTCTCTCTCTCTTTCTCCATATGATTTCAGAGCATTTTCCTTGGTCCTATTTTAGGTGAGAGTGACTTATTCTGAAGAATGAAATATTTTTATCATCTTTCAACTGGAGGGATCTACATGGTTCTTAAATTTTATATTGACATTTGATACATTTGTCCCGTCAGAGAGCTCAAAGTTGACAACTGTTTAAGGAAAGCAGGCTCTCTTCTAGTTACACCTCGTAACTTACATGGAGGTGTCTTGGGTCAAAGGAGAGAAGAGGAAAAGAGGACAGAATAAACAAAGGCTGTAAAGCACTGTCTGTCAGGGATTTGAACTTAGCAAAGGAGATGAAAAGAGGTGGGAAAGAAGAGATAGGGAGTGATGGAACAGATGAAGGGGGAGAAAGCCCTGTTAGCTCAAAGAAGCCAGTGGTGATGGGATATACTTATGTCTAGCATAGAAATAGACTTTCCAGAGTTAAACGTTTGCCAACCTTGTGCTTTTTTCTGGTGGAAAATATCAAAGCCCTTTGAAATAGGTGATTTTTATTGCTGTTTTACTTAGGGCAACTGTCCTCTCCTTTTGTTCTCTGCTCATTCCCACCCCAGTGCCTTAGACTGACAGAGAAAAGCTTTCCCATCACATTAAAAATCAAGCAAGTTGTATTTGCAAAGTATAATCTGTAAGAATAAGTCTTTTATCTTTTTATTTAATTAAAGGTGGAGATAGAACATTTTTCAATCACAAAGGACTGAGGGAGTTTGTTTAATAGACAGGTTGAACAGAAGTGAATTTTGCTCACTTTTTGCTAAGAATTGACACACTTGCCAGGAGTAATGGCCCAGCACTCAGTAGGCAGAGGCAGGTGGATCTCTGTGAGTTCAAAGCCAGCCTGGTCTACATAGTGAGTTCCAGGCCAGCCAGGGCTGCAGGAAGACCCTGTCTCAAAAAGACCAAGAAAAGAATTGACACACTTGAATTTCAGTTTGCTTAGGAGAATGAAAATTTTTAGAATTCACATCCTTATAGCTTAACCTGAAAGTTTTTAAAGATATAATAAATTTTATAGCCAGAGTGCCAAGTACTGTATAGTTGCATTTCATTAGAGATTTTAAGCTCCTGCTAGTCAAGACTTGTGCATAAATGTGGATAGACTTAAAACAGCAGTACAGTAGAGAAAAATGTACGCTCACAGCAGAGAAGTAACTACCCATATAAAATGCCTAAGGTCCTGTGTCCATGTCAGTGAGTTCCATTTAAATGTACTATGGCATGGCTCCCAGCTGTTAATGCTTTGTGCATGCTGGGTCATAATCAAATGAGGTCTGCCTCAGATCAGAGTAAGTAATAGTAAGAGAGCTCAAGTCATTGTATTTGTTAAATGATGGCCATTAGATTTACTATTATCCCAGTAGTGGTCTCATCACTTATTTATATTTCATTTTGCTTTCTCAAATGTTTAAGAAGAGTCAGGCTAGTAGTTGGTCTACTGGAACTGCACATGACCATCATTAGTGTATCTCCACTGCAGCCTGTGACCTGAGGGGCAGGGAGTTGAGAACTGCTGCTCTAACAGCTCTGCTGCTTATTGCTGTTATTCATGACCTGAATGTTTGAGAAGGCACCGTTACAATTCTTAAATCTCATTTAAGATGCCAATGTAGTGTAGAGCATCTAAACAAGGTTTCCATGTAAAATGATTAGTCTTAAAACTCAGAACCTTCAATAATATAGAAATTTAACTTGTGAATTGTTGGAGTCTTTTCCTGAATGACATTTTTCGTAGTAGTAGGTGTGCTAGAGGATTCTACAGACTCTTCCATTTATGTTCTCTGAAGGACTATGGTTCCAGTAGAGACCCCTAAAGAGTAGTCAACAGAGGAAGATGAACTTAGTAAGGCTCCAGTCCCCCACTTATGCTTTAGCCATAGTGACTCTGAATACTTTCATCTTTTGCTTCTTAATTATTGGGCTTCTTTGTGTTTTTTTTTTTAATAAAACATTTTTCCATTTAAGTATAAAAACCAAACCGGATTTGATATCTACAATACTACAGTATTTGAATGGGCCTGTGGATATGCTCAGTGGTAGAGCACTTACTTAATAGGAGTGAGGCCCTGGGATCCACTCCCAAATAAAGTTCAAAATTAAAAATAAATAAATAAACCAAGGCTCAGAGATCATTGGCAGAAAAGGGGGCCAGAAAGATTAAGAGCCAGGGGTTATAAATGATTACAAGTGATAGGTTGGAATGTTGGAGAGAGTGGGTGGTGCGGATGGAGGAAGGCACCGGGGCACAGATGGAATTCTCAGTGGGATATAGATTTATTTCGCACAGGGCACCTTTCCCTCGGGGAAGGGAAAGATGGCAGGGAAGGGAAAGATGTCAGGGAAGGGCAGGGAAGGGAAAGATGTCAGCGCACGGGTTGTGAGCTGGGACTTTATATGTGGGGGCTTTAGGGTGTGGAAGGGGGGAATGTTTGGGGGAGAAATCAGGGAGGGGGAAGCAGGAAAAGCAGGTAGGATTAGGGTCTGGAAGTGTTTACTTTTTCCCTCTTAAGAGAAAAACAGCTTCTAAAATCTCTGGTTATCAGGTAGAATCTGCTTATCTTATCTTTGGAGGTCAGAGGAAAGGCAGGCTGCTTCTCAGCAGAGTTTGTTTCCCTTGACTTCAAAGGTCAAGGTGCTTATCAGCTAAGTTCCCTTTTTCGGGCTCCAAAGTCTGTAGGTCCCTGCTGGGGAGGGGGGAAGCTGCTGCTGTTTGGAACCCTAACAACAAGGAAGCAAGAGTTTTCCATATAGCTGATCAGTTACTCATATGAATTCACAGTAATGATGACAGCATGTACAAGTCCCATGCAAGTTCAAACCAGATAGAATCCCAGCATAGATATGAGGAAGTAGGTAAGAAACCCCAACCCACCCTAAGAAAATTTGTGGCAACTGATGGCTGCTTAGAGTGGGAAAGGCAGTCTCTTTCTTTCAAAGTTAACCAGGTTCCAGTGGATGAACCCACACTGAACAACATTTGAGGACACAAATTAGATTCTGTAGGCCTTATTATGTATATGATAGAATACATTTAATTAAATGGGGAGCCGCAAGAGGAGGTATGGATATGGGAGGAGATCTAAATACCATGAAATTATATTATATGAAATTGCAAAAATTCAATATAAAAAAAAAATCCTATATGTAAGAAAAATATCAACAGAATGTATACTATGTACATGTATGAATTTCATGAAGGACAAATTTAATCAGAAAAAAAGATTTAAAATATGTAATAAAAGTGATTTTTTTTCATTTCAAATACCTAAATAAATAAATAAGGCTGGTTGTGGCGGCACATGCCTTTAATCCCAGCACTCAGGAGGCAGAGACCTGGTCTTCATAGTGCTTTCCAGGCCAGCTAGGGTTACATAGTGAGACCCTGTCTCAAATATGTCTATCTGTAGATAGATAGACAGACAGACAGACTGAGAAAACACCATGTCTACACTGTCTGGACTTCTCTTTAAAGTAGGATGTATTTGTGTAATCCCTTTTGGAACAAATTAGGTATATGTGTGGTGTATAAAAAATAGAACAGAAATGGGGCACAGATATCAAAACCCCCAAAATAAAGAGTTTTTGGTGCCCGCTTATAGATCACATGACTAAGACTCTCCATTTCATTTTATAGCCCTTTTTAGCATAGTAAGGGTAAATAAATTGCTTTATTTGAGTAGCCTTTAAATAATAATAAATTAATGTATTAAATTTTCTACTTTGTTGTTTTATATTCAGTAACCTAATTCAGTTACTTCTTTTTCCCTTAGGAATCAGTCTTTGCATTTACATCTCAAGCACTATGGTGTGAATTGTGATGACTGGCTATTACGTCTTATGTGTGGAGGAGTAGAAATCAGAACAATTTATGCTGCTCATAAACAGGCAAAGGCTTGCCTCATTTCAAGATTAAGCTGTGAACGAGCTGGGACTAGGTTTAATGTCCGGGGAACAAATGATGATGGTCACGTTGCCAACTTTGTAGAAACAGAACAGGTACAGAGTGTTGTTTATATTTTTTATGTGCTATAAGAGAAACATGGAAAATACTAGAGTTTTACTTGATTTATATTACATTTTGGCATGTTGACTTGATGTTCTTGACCACTTATTGGCCTTAAGAAATGCTTTCCTAAAATGGGCTTACACAGCTATGGTTCTCCAAATGCATAATATTAACCAAGTAGTAGTCTGACATAGTGCCATACATTTGCTCCAACTCAGATCTTCAAAATTGGTCTTTTTAAAAAATAAATTTGCTTTTTATTTTATGTGTATGACTGTGTTGACTACATGTATGTAAGTGCATCGTGCATCGTTGTCATGCAGTGCCGGAGGCCAGAAGAGGGCATTGACTTCCCTGGAACTGGAGTTTTGGACAGTTGTTAGCCACCATGTAGGTGCTGGGAACCAATTCTAGGTCCTCTGCAAAAGCTTTTAGTGCTCTTAACTGCTGAGCCATCTCTCCAGCACCAAATTAAAGTTTTGAAAAATATAAAAAAGCAAAGGAATGAATTAAATGAAGTATAAAAGTGTGTGTGTGTGTGTGTGTGTGTGTGTGTCTGAAATTTGTTTCTTTTAAAAAGTTGTGATTCTTAAAGCCGGGCATGGTGGCACTTGCCTGTAATCCCAGCACTTGGGAGGCAGAGGCAGGCGGATCTCTGTGAGTTCAAGGCCACCCCGGTCTACAAAGAGAGTTCCAGGTCAGCTGGGGCTACAGGGAGACCCTGTCTCAAAAAAACAAAAAAAAAGTTGTGATTCTTACATTTTATGGTTTTCTTGATTATCATTGACTAAAGCTTAGCTAGTGTCCTGTTTTTGAATATTTTGATCAGGACAATTTGTGTTTAAGAGAAAAAGATCGTAAAATATAGCTACTGCACAACAGATGTTAGTAACTGGTTTTTCTAATAGCAGTAACAGTTTGTTCCTTTGGATTATTTTGTAGGTTGTATACTTAGATGACTGCATCTCTTCCTTCATACAGATCCGAGGATCTGTGCCATTGTTCTGGGAGCAGCCAGGGTTGCAAGTATGTGTCTGACATTTAGTAATTTTTTTTCATCTTTAAAAATTTCCATATTCTCTAAATTTTCAACACATCTCTTTAATTCACTGATCATTCTACTGCAAGTTAATTCTAGCTACATTCACAAATGTGGATCTGAAAAGTCTTATCTGAGACATTTTCCCTTTTAATGCTCTCTCAAATAGTCTATTAATCAGTTTTTATTAGTGTAATGAATTACCTGAGTTAGGCCAATTTTATAAAAATAAAGTTTTATTTTGGCTTATAAATCTGGAGGGACTGAAAGTTAGGTTAGGTGTTAGGTTAGGTTAGGTGTCCCATTGGTTCGGCAACTGGTGAAGCAGCATAAGGGTTGGTGACATTGTGATGGGAGTGTGTATGGAAAGAAGAGATCGAGTCTTTGACCAGGAGTCCAAAGAAAGTCTTAGGCTTTTAAAATCACTTGCCTCAGGCTTTTATAACCACTTGCTCCCATAAGAGCTTACACTAGGAAACCAGCATTCCCACACCAGGGCAGCTCTCCCAATAAGCCAGTCATCTTCCAAGTGTGAAGCCCCACCTCTTAACTGCAACACCTTCACCACTGCCACCCTGGGGACTACATTTCCAGTGCATGAAGGCTTACAGGACAAACCACATTCATACCATAGAGCCATAGAAATTCAGGTGCTTATTTAAGTTTTTAAATTTCAAGGTTTTTAAAGTGTTTTTCTTATTATCATCTTATTTTAGTGTATAATGGTTTGGTCCTTTTAGGTAGAAGAATTTGATAGTTTCTTTTTAAAAGCTTATTTGAGATCTTTACTCAACCATTACTAGCTTGGGCAATTGATTAAATTCCTCTTTATGTCTTAGTTTCCTTATCTGTAAAATGGGAATGATATTAATAGTGTCTCCTTCATATGTTACTTTAAGGACTACCTGAAAACCACCTTAAACCAGTGAGTGCCTGGCACACAACTGCTTATCAGGGTCATCTGCTCTTTTTTCACTATGTTTGCTCCTGGAATTTTGCTTTGTAATTTGTGATGACCTGTCATCTTCAATATATTTCTGATAACTTTAAGCTTCATTTCTTAAATATAATCACTTAATCTTTATAAAATACTTTAAAATATAAGGTTATAATATTAAATTGTTCCCAATAGTGTAATCTTATATTTTATTGTATTGAGAAATTCTTAGGGCTTAAAGTGCTATATTCATTGTAGGCTTCTGGGTATGGGTAATCTAGTTAGATTTGTATTGCAGCCATTTAGTATTGAGACGAGACAGAAAAAAAATGTCTTGCTTGGTTTTTTACTGCTAGATCTCTCTCACATTCTAAGTTGGGTCTTTGTGGAGAAAAATTGTAGACCTGAATTTTTTCAGTGGTACAGTTTATTCAGGATACATCAAGGATTAACAAAAGTGGTAATTAAAGCCCAAGGCAGTGTTTTTCACACTTACTTAGCTTAGTTTCTAAAGTCAACACTGTTTTCAGTAAGAATGGATTGGTCTTTTGTTTTGGTTTGGTTTGGGTTAGGTTTAAGACAGGGTCTTACTATATAGTACCAGCTAGCCTGGTACTCACTGTGTTGTCTAGGCTGGCCAGGAACTCATGCCAATTTTCCTGTCTCAGCCTCCTGAGAGTAGATCCTTTTTGTGAATATACTTTACACCAAAATGTTTTCTCCACTATTAAATAAAAGAGTCAGTAATAAAAGAATGAAAATATATGATTGATTTTAAGAGACTTGAAGAGGATAATTGCTTTAAAAAAAAAAAAAGAAGAAGAAGAAGAACACCATGTCTAAGTATGAATTATTTTAAGGAACCAAACCAGAGTTCTTTTGACTTAGGTGGTTGTAAATGGTATTACATGTTTTGAGTACTCAGGACTGGGATGTATTTGAGGATCCTGTTTAGTGGTTTGTAACTATTTTGCTGTATAGTCTAGACTGGTCTCAAGTTTGCAGTCCTCCTGCCTCCAACTCCTGGCAACACCATGCCTGGCATATTTCAAGCATTCATTAAACATTCACTTAATAAATGCTAATACTGTTAATTCAGTTATGAAATTAAATAAGCACATTAGAGCTTATTTTCTATTTGTTTTGTCAGGGCATGGTGGTGCATGCCTTTAGTCCCAGCACTTGAGAGGCAGAGGGAGACAAATTTCTGTGAGAATAAGGCCAGCCTGGTAGGTCTACATAGCGAGTTCCAGGCCAACTGGGGCTACAATGAGATCCTGTCTCAAAAGGACAAAAAAAAAAAGTTATCACAAATGAAGATCAGTTCTTTCATTTCCTCCTGTGTGCTGAGCAAGCAAACTGTTGCATATTTCAAGTCTTGTTATTTCTTTTGTCTACACAGTGGGTTTTGATATGATGGAGTATATTATTTTTCTTGTCTAAGGTGGGGTCGCATCGTGTTCGTATGTCAAGGGGATTTGAAGCCAATGCACCTGCTTTTGACAGGTAAAACTGATAGTTCTTACATAGTACTTATTATAAGCTTTGAAATTGCTAAGTAGTAAGATTATTTCTATTTACTGATTCATTTGGACTTTCCTTGACTGTCAATAAAATTCCTTCTGACTTCTAATTCGGTTGGAAGACCACGCTGCAGTGTTAGGACTTGTAGAGCATGATAGTACAGGAAGTATGAGCCTTGATCTCTCGGCCTTTAGATGTCCTCTCCTGTGCCTTGTTCACTAGAGTAGATATAGCAACTACTGAAAGTTTGAAATGTGTCTCGTCCAAATTAAGAAAAGTTCTAAATATCAAATGCACTGAGTTTCAAACGTGGTACAAAAAATTGGAAGAAGAATATGAACTATCTCAAATACTTGTTTCTATTGATTACATGTTGAAATAATACTTAAGTCAAATATATTTAATTTCCTCTTTTTACTTTTATTTAAGATATCTTCCTGATAATTAAAAAATTGTAGATGTCTCATGTTATATTTCATTTGTATGGCATTGCTGTATAAATAACTATTTATAAGTTCTTCCCTCCCTCCCTTCCTTTCTTCCTTCCATCCCAAAAATCACTATGAAGGTAAGGTAAACCTTGAATTCCTGGTCCCCCTTCCTCTACTTCCCAAGTGTTGGAATTAACAGGTTGCATTACCTCACTGGCTTATATTTTTTCTTTTTTTGAAAAAAATTTTTATTGAGTTTTTGTAGAGAAAAAAAAATTATTTTTTTTTTGGTCTTTTTGAGACAGGGTCTCCCTGTAGCCCTAGGTGTCCTGGAACTCATTATGTAGACCAGGCTAGCCTTGAACTCACAGAGATCCACCTGCCTCTGCCTCCCAAGTGCTGGGAGTAAAGGCATTCCCCTCCACGCCTGGCTGAGAAAATCATCTTTATACCCCCTTCCTCTTTGGTACCCTCCTGTAGCCACCCCCCACTGGAATTCATAATTCTGTCATTTGTGTTAAGGCCTATCATATAATGTTAGTGTCCCCAGATGTCCCTAAGTGCAAATTCATTCACTGGGATCTAGCCAGCCTATCTAGAGACACCCCACACACACACTTTAAGAAAATCATCTCTTCCTCACTCAGCAGTAATTAGCTGCCAATAATTTTTTGACCGAGATTGTAGCCTACTGTCCATTCCCACAGTTCTGTGCTGGGTTTCTGTCTGTTTAAGTTTGCATGGGTCTTATGCCTGCTGGCACCATTGCTGTAGGTTTGTATAAGAAGGGTCCCTGGCGCCTGTAAGACTATTTACTTATGTTCATGCATCTCTTCCCTGGCTCTTACAATCCCTCTGCCTCCTCTGCAATGGTCCCTGAGCCCTGGGTGGGCAGATTTTAATATAGGAGTCCTGGCCAAGGACTCACACTCTGCAGACTTTTATTCTCTGCGTTTTGGCCATTTGTGACCTTTTTCTTTCTTGGCCCTCTTTTGCATGAGGGAGCTTTATTGATGAAAGTTGAAAGGTGTATTAGTGTTCTCTTCATCCCTTGTTTTATGTTCTGTGAGCCTTAGGTATAGAGGTTGCATCCTAGATATGCCACTTAGGCTTGGGCAATTCACAGACAATCTCTGTGTGTGACCAGTTATGCAACTGTGTAATTATCTCTGTCTCTTGAAAATGAAGCTTCTTTGACTGGGAGACTTGTCTATAAATTTAAGGATCCATATTTTGCACATAGTAAGAAATTACATCTGTCTCGGGATGTGACAGCCTTGGAATTTTCTCTTAAGGTCTATGACCTCTCCAGCTCTGTGTATTTGGCTAGGTTTATAGTACCACACGGGTTTCCTCCCATTGAGTGGGCTTCAAGTCCAATTAAGTAGCTGTTGATTACCCCCAAGATAAAAGTACTACTCCTGTACCAATGTCATTTGTTGTGCTGGTCATTGATGTGGTTTTTAGGCCTTAAAGCTGGGGTTGGACCATTGATTGATGTTCTCCCTTAGCAGCTTGCATAGTGCTCTACAAAGCTTTGAAAGCTAGCCTTTAAGGGAGGAGGCTTCCAGGTCAATTCCAGCTCTGTTTTTCCAAATCCTGTGTCCAAAGTCTGTCCCGTCTTCAGCAATAGGGTCTTATCATCAAGTTCTGGGAGGCAGTCAAGGACTGTGGCAGTAGCCTGTGTAATTTTGGGAGTGTCTTGGATTGCCCTGGCCAACAACTCAAAGGAAGTTTTCTCCTGTCTGGCACTGTTCTTGCTATGTAGCTTCAGCTTTACTCACAGACTCATGTAGGGGTATTGTTTGTGTAATTTTTCAGTAGGTTTTTGGACTGTATTAATACAGTTCCCTCTGGTTTTTTATACTAGCTAGGCACTATTTATCTCATCTCTTTCTCTCCCTGTCTTATCCTCCCTCCCTGCCCTCCCCATTTAAAGTATCCCTATTTGCCCCATTTCTCCCTTGATAATTTCTGTGTGCTGTGCTCCCACCTGTCTTGAGCTCCTTCTTCCCCTTTATTCCCATAGTTCCTTGTATAGCCCTCCTTAATTACCCCCTTTTTATATAATTCTCCCTTAGTAACACCTGTCTCCTCCTACTCCTCTCTCTCAGATTCCTTCTTTCCCTTTACCTCCCTGGTTCCCTTCCATTTTCCTGGTTCCTGCAGTTACATCAGGATATGTACTCACTTCTAAGGATTTGGTGCTAGGATCCACAAATGAGGGAGAACATATGTCTTTTGTTTTTCTGAGTCTGTGTTACTTCACGTAGTATAACAGTTTCTAAATCCATCCATTTATATGCAAATTTCATTATTTCATCTTTTTTACTGCTGAGTAGAACTCCATTGTATAAATGTACCACATTTTCATTAACTACTTGTCAGTTGAGGGTCACTTAGGTTGTTTCCAAATCTTAGCTATTGTGAAAAGAGCAGCAAACAAAGCTTGTACAAGTATCTCTTCAATAGTATGAGTCCTTTGGGTATATGCAAAGGAGTGGTATAACAGAGTCATATGGTAGGTTCATTTTTAGATTAGAGTTCTCCACACTGCTTTCCATAGGGCTTGCACGAGTTTGCAAACCACCACATTAGTGTTCCCCTTTCTCCACATCTTTGCCAGCATTTGGTATCATTTGGACTCTTGATTTTAGCCAGTATGACTGGGGTAAGATGAAATCTTAAGGTGGTTTTAATTTGCATTTCCCTAATTTTAAGATGTTTCTTAGCCATCTTTAGTTCTTCTTTTGAGAACTCTGTGTTTATATCTTTAGCCCATCCTTTAATTGGAATATTTGTTTTCTTGATTCTTTGTTTTTTGAGTTCTTTATATATTCTGGATGTTTAAGCTCTGTCAGATGTGTCACTGATGAAGATTTTTTGTCCCACTCTGGATTTTCTCTTCACTTTCTTGATTGTTTCTTTTGCTGTACAGAAGGTTTTTAGTTTAATGAAGTCACTTGTTGATTGTTAACCTTAATTGCTAAGCAACTGGTGTTCCACTTAGAAAGTCCTTTCCTATACCTATATCTTGTAGGTTACTACCAATGTTTTCTTCTAACAGTTTCATAGTTTTGAGTTTCACATTGAGGTCTTTGATCCATTTGGAATTGACTTTTGTGGAAGGTGAAAAATAAGGATCTAGTTTCATTCTTCTACAGGTGATGGTCTGGTTTTGACAGCACCATTTGTTGAAAATGTTGTCTTTCCTTGATTGTGCATTCTTGGTACCTTTGTCAAATATCAGGTGGCTGAAATTGCATGTACTCATGTTTGAGTCTCCAGTTATGTTCCCTTGATCTCTGTATCTATTTTTCTGCCAATACCATGCTATTTTTATGACTATAGCTCTTTAGTATAGTTTGAGATCTGGTTTAGTAATCCCCCCTGAGTTGCCCTTTCTGCCGAGGGTTGCTTTGGCCATCTGCAGTCTTTTGTGCTTCCACATAAATTTTAGGATTTTTCTGTTTTAATTCTGTGAAGTATGTCATGGGGATTTTGATTGGGATTGCATTGTATCTATATATTGCTTTTGGTAGGCTGGTCATTTTCACAATATTAATTCTCCCAATCCATGAGCATGGGACGTCCTTCCATCTCCTGGTATCTTCCTCAATCTCTTTAAAGATTTTTTTTTTTTTTTTTGGAGGTATTGTAAACGAGAGGGTTTTGGAATCTCTTAGATATAGTATCACATCATCTGCAAAAAAGGATAATTTGGCCTCTTTTCCAATTCGTACTCTTTTTAATTTCCTTCTCTTGTCTTACTGCTCTAGCAGGAGTTTCAAGCACTATATTGAAAAGGAGTGGAGATAGTGGACATCTTTGTCTGGTTTCTGATTTTAATGGGAATCCTTCCAGGTTTTTTTCCATTTAGAATGATGTTGGCTGTGGGTTTCTCATGTAGGCTCTAATTGTTTTAATTCCAGTCCAATTCCTTCTAGGACTTTTATCATGAATGCGTGCTTTTCTGCATCTGTTGAGATGACCATGTGGTTTTTGTCTTTGAGTCTATTTATATGATTTATGAAGTTTATTGACTTACATATATTGAACCATCCCTGCATCTCTGGAATAAAGCCTACTTGGTCGTGGTGGATGATCTTTTTGATAGGTGTCTGTATGCAGTTTGCAAGTATCTTGTTGAGAATTTTTGCATCTATGTTCATTAAGGACATGGGTCTATAGTTTTCTTTTTTGGTTGTGTCTTTACCTGGTTTTAGTGTTAGGTGTTAGTGATGCTGACTCCTTAGAAGGAATTTGAAAGTTCTCCCTCTGCTTCAATCTTTTTGAATAATTTAAGTAGTATTGGTTGGAGATCTTCCTTAAATGTCTGGTAGGATTCTGCTGTTAATCCATCTTGGCCTGGGCTCTTTTTAGTCAGGAGGATTTGTACTACTGTTCCGATTTCCTGTTATGTTGTGGGTCTGTTTAAACTGTTGATCTCTCTTTGGTTTAGCTTTGGTGGTTTCCATGAATTTAGATGGCCATCCATTTCTTTTAGGTTTTCAAATTTAACAGAATATAGGTTTCTTAAGTATTCTGTTTTAATGGTCTGGATCTTTTGGGTGTCTGTTGTGATGTTTCCCCTTTCATCTCTGATTTTATTGATTTGGATTTGCTCTTTTTTTCTTTTGGTTAACTGGGTTAAGGGTCTGTCTGTCTGTCTTGTTTAGCTTTTCAAAGAACCAGTTCTTAGATTCATTGATTCTTTGTATTGTTTTCTTTGTTTCTATTTCATTAATCTCTCCTCTGATTTTTATTATTTCTTCTCATCTTCTGGGTTTGATTTTCATTTCTTCTTGTCTTTCCGGAGTCTTAAGTTGCAATGTTAAGTCATTTATTTGTGCTCTTTCTGATTTTTTTAACATAGGCATTTAGAGCTATAAACTTCCCTCTTGGGACTGCTTTTAAAGTGTCTCAGAGGTTTTGTTGTGTTGTATTGTCCTTTTCGTTTAATTCCAGGAATACTTTCATTTCTTTCTTAATTTCTTCTTTGATAAGTGCATCATTCCGGAGTGTGGTAGTTAATCTCTATGAGTTCATGTAGTTACTAGGGCTTCTTTGGTGTTGATTGTAAGCTTTATTACATTGTTGTCTGATAGAATACATGGAATTATTTCAGTTTTTTGTATTTGTTGAGGTTTGTTTTGTGCCACAGTATGTGTTCGATTTTTGAGAAAGTTCCATGAGTAGAAAGTGTATTCTTTGGTGCTTGGATGAAATATTCGGTAGATGTCTGTTAGGTCCATTTGATGTATGGTATCGTTTTATATAGACATCTCTCTGTTTATTCTTTGTCCAGTTGTCCTATTTAAGGGAGACAGTGGGGTATTGAAGTCCCCTGCTATTACTGAGTTGGGGTTAATCTGTGTCTTAAAGTTCTGTAGTGTTGTTTTTATGAATTTGGGAACACCAGCTTTTGGTGCATATATGTTCATAATTAATTGTTCCTTTGATCAAAATGATGTGACCCTCCTTATCAACCCTCTTGATTATTTTTAGTTTGAAGCTTATTTTTTCACACATTAGAATTGCAGCCCCTGCTTCTTAGTGCCATTTGATTGGAATATTCTTTTCCATCCTTTCACCTTAAGTTAGTGCCTGTCCTTGAAAGTGAAATGGGTTTCTTGCAGACAACAAAAGGATGGATTTTGTTTCTTAATCCATTCAACTAGCCTGTCTTTTGACTAGGAAGTTCAGGCCATTGATATTTAAAGTTAATATAAGATGTGTATTGGTTGCCACCTTTTTGATGACTGTATTGTTTGTCTAATTTTGTGTTTCTACAATTATACCTTCATTTAGTTTCTTTTTGTTGCTCCTGAGATATAGTTGTTCTTTGCTCTTTGTATTGCTTCAAGTATTCTTTGAAGGGCTGGTTTTGTGGACATGTATTCTTTCAGCCTATTCGTGTCATGGGAGATTTTTCTTTTCTCTTCAACCATAATAAACATTTTTGCTGGGTAACATATTCTGAGTTGGCATCTATCGTCATTTAGTACTGGGAATACTTTGGTCCAGGCTCTTCTGGCTTTCATAGTTTACATTGATAAGTCAGTCATAATTCTGATGGTTTTCCTTTATATATGAGTTGTTGTTTTTCTTTTGCAGCTTTCAGTATTATGCTCTTTGTTCTGTACATTTAGTGTTTTTGCTATGATATGCCATGGGGAGTTTCTTTTCTGGTCCTGTCTCTTTGATGTTCTATGTGCTTTTTGTATTTGGGGATGTCGTTCCTTAAATTTTGGGAAATTTTTTTCTACAATCCTGTTTAAGATCTGGTCAATACCATTAACCTCAAATTCTTCTCCTTCCTCTATGCCTATGATACATAGATTTGGTCTTTTCATGGTGTCCCACATCTCCTGTATATTGCATTCCTGTCTTGGTTTTTTGTTTGTTTTTTCATAATCTTGGCTTGAGCAGTCTAGCTCTTCAACTTTATCCTCCAGTGTTGATATTCTGTTTTCTATTTCATTCATTCTGTTGGCCAGGCTGTCTCCAGTTGTTTCAAATTGACTTACTTAGTTTTTTACTTCCTTCTTCATTTCAGCCTGAGTTTTCTTCAATATTTTATCTCTTTTGTGAATTCAGTTTATCCATCTTCTTTTAGTTCTTTGATTTATTTGTGTTCTTTAAATTTGTTGAATTTCCTGATCATGTTTATGATTGTTCTTTTAAATTCTGTGTCCTGGGTTATCTCTAGGGTGTTCTCCTTGTAAACATCTTCTATAGGACTGGTGGAGTTTGGTGGGAACATACTGTTTAGGTTTTCTGTATTATTTTTCCATTGTGATTTTGGTATGTGAATTTCTTTTGTTGTTTGTCATTCTGGCATAAAACTCAAGCCTTCCTTTGTTGAGTTGAAGTCTCCTTCTGTTTGTATTGTTGGTGCTTCTTGGTTGTTTTCTTATTGGGTATGTAAAGCTGGTTGGTCTAGGTTTCAGGTTCTCTCTGATTTTATGTTGGAGAGAACTGATAGCTTCAGATCAGCTACTCAGTAGCTCCCAAAGGCCCAAGTCAGGCTCCAGTCAGGTACACTCAGGCTTCCTTCTAACGTCTGGACCCCCACTAGCTGGCACTTGTTGCAATCCTCGGGGATCGGGGATGAGGTGGTGGCAGTCGGACAATATGCAGACACCAGAGACCAGGTTCTGTGATGCAGATCTAAAGTTTATTAGGAAGTACAGCAGGCTTTATAGGGAATAGGCACCAATCACCGGGCTCCACAAGTGCTAACGTAGCCAATCACTTTAAAGGTTAGGCCAGCGGTCACTGAGACTGTACTATGAGGAGCTGGGCAGGCTTTGTACAGCGAGAACAAAGAAATGGGGAATTTACTGGGTGGGGCAACATGGGGTGAGGGTCAGGCCACTTTGGAGTGTGCTCACAAGGCTTGAGCTGATGATCCTGTGGGTTCATCGTGCCTTTACCAAGGCCACCAAGTAAATCCCCAAGCCAGGACTCTCCTCAAGCACTCACAGCACAAGGTGGTGGTGGGCGGGGGTGGGGGGCAGTTAGGCACTCTCAAATGATCTGGTAAGATCTCAGCTCCTACTGTAAGGCCAAGAGGTCTAGCTCTGGTGAAGTGGGAGGGCCCTTGTGGTCCCAATTGGGTTGTCAGAGCTCCATTTGGGGAGGCTCACCACCTCCTGGAGCCTGGATCCAGGTACTCTCAGACAGTCTGCTAAGAACGTTATGTTTTTTCTTAAGCATATTCATAACAATTGAGGTTTGATTTCTAAATTAGATGCCGTAAGAGGATAACAATAAGGACCGATAACAAAGTAGAATTATAATAATATACTGTAATAAAAGTTATTAGTGTGGTTCCTCTCTTGAAAGAATCAGGGCTAAGTGTTAGCTTTTTTGGACCATGATTGGCCTTAGATAACAGAAACTATGTTAAAGAAAACCACAGGTAAGGGGAACATTACTGGATAGCCTATGTGGAGGCTGGAAGCTAGAAAGAAAAAACCCCTCAACTTGCGGCCTGTTTTTCAAAGGCTAGAGCCCTTTTGAATCATCCTCGAGTATGTGGTGATCTATACTCCCTGCCCTCCGGCCAGCATGGTGGCCTGAGCTGTGCCTTGTCTGTTGCCAGTTGCACATTGGAAAGTGACCTGGAAGCTGGATGACTCCAGAGCTCTAGTCTAGGTGGGACTCTTGGTGTCCATTAGTCAGAGGGGAGCAGTGTTTACTACATTTTTTATAAACAGAGGTTTGAAAACATGTAACCAGTTCTATGAATTGAAAATGTGTCATCTAGGTTCTGTTTAACAATGGATTCTTATTTACTAAAAAAAAATAAGGCTTATTTGAACATGCTGCTTCCTTCCTGTTTTTTGTCAATAGGCATTTTCGAACACTTAAAGATTTATATGGTAAACAAATAATAGTGAACTTGCTTGGATCTAAAGAAGGTGAACATATGCTAAGTAAGGCTTTCCAGGTGAGTGTGGTTGCTTCAGCTTCTGTTCTTATCCATGGTCACCTAGAATGGTACTAAAAAATAATAAAATAATCAGATTACTTTCCCAAGGAAAGGTTTGATACTTGCTGAAACATTTAACTTTTTTTTTCTAAGAAAAAAATTTATTTTTTATTTGTAATTATGTGTATGCACATGTGTTTGTGTGTGAGTACATACACATGAGTACAGGTGCCTGTGGAGGCCAGAAGAGGATGTCAGATCCCCTGGAGCTGGAATTACAGGAGTTGTAAAGCCACCTACCTGATGTGGGTGCTGAAAACCAAACTCAGGTCTTCTGCAAGAGCAGTATGCACCCTTAACCACTGTGCCATCTTTCTAGGTCTGGAACCTTAAACTCTTTGAGTCTATTAAGAAATAGTATAGGCCAGTGCCCCTGAACTTGGAACAATGGAAAACTTTCAAGGCAGTTGACACTCTGCTCTGATCTACTCATTTTTTATTGTGGAGAAGCAGAAAAATACCATCTCCCCAAAATATTCACATATAGTACAGACATGATATAGTATAAGATAAATGGAAAGCTAGAGATTGGCCTAATTACATCCAAAAATAACCTAATTACTTAGCTATTTTTTAATCATGTAAGATAATTATTAAACAGATTATGCTTTTAAGAGCAATATTTTTAAAAACATGTATGTATTGAATGAAGGCATAAAAGATGAGTTTTAGTCTTTGATATACTTTGGGTTTTTGTTTGTTTGTTTGTTTGTTTGTTTTGTTTTGTTTTGTTTTGTTTTTTTAAAGAGAAGGCTGAGCATGGTGTAGCACACCTTTAGTCCCACCACTTGGGAGGCAGAGGCAGGCAGATCTCTGTGCGTTCAAGGCCAGCCTGGTCTACGTAGTGAGTTCCAGGACAGCTGGGGCTACAGGGAGACCCTGTCTCAAAAAGATCCAAAAAAAAACAACTGGTAAAAAGACACTGGGACTGGAGAGATGGCTCAGCAATTAAGAGCACTGGCTGTTCTTGCAGAGGACCCGGGTTCAATTCCCAGAACCCACATATGGCTAACAACCATCCGGAACTCTAGTTCTAAGGGCCCTCTTTTGACCTCCAGGGCATTGCATGACATGGGTGCACTTACATACATGCATGTAATATACTCATACACATAAAATAAAAATAATAAAATAAATTTTCAAAGAATTGTGCTGTTGCCTTAAGTGTAAGTATGCATTTACATTGTTGTGTTAAGCCGACATTTAGATGAATATTTGCCTTTTTACTTTCAGAGTCATTTGAAAGCTTCAGAACATGCTTCTGATATCCACATGGTGAATTTTGACTATCATCAAATGGTTAAAGGAGGAAAGGCAGAAAAGTTACATAGTGTTCTTAAGCCTCAAGTCCAGAGGTTTCTAGATTATGGATTTTTTTATTTCAATGGAAACGAAGTTCAAAGGTTTGATGGTTCTATTTCCGTTCTTTAAATTGGAACTTTGCTATAATTTAAAAATCATTGTTAACATTGAACTTTCAAATTTCCTTTTTTATGTTCAAGTTTATAATTTTAAAAATGTCTTTTTAGCTGGGCGTGGTGGCACACGCCTTTAATCCCAGCACTTGGGAGGCAGAGGCAGGTGGATCTCTGCGAGTTCAAGGCCAGCCTGGTCTGCATAGTGAGTTCCAGGACAGCTGGGGCTATAGGGGGACCCTGTCTCAAAAAAGACCAAAAAAAAATAAAAAATATTTTTAATATTCAATTTTAAGCTTGTTTTTCTTTCACTAGATTTCAAGAAATAATAATAAGTGACATTATGTGGAGCATATGGTAGGACCAGCAGTATACGTAGTCTTTATTGTGTTAGTTACAGTTGTAGGGTAGGATCTATTATTATGCCCATTACATTTGAGAAAATTGAGGCATGGGCTACAGTCTGCTTCAAGTCATTCAATATTAGAGCTAAGTCATCTGGCTCTAGACCTCATGCTATTATTAAAACTGAAGTCTTGATAGTTGTTGATACTAGGGAAAACTATTAAATGCAAATAAATGTCTCTGTCAGTACATCTTAAATTTTTAGGTTTTGTATTTGAAATAGGAAAAAAAGCAAGCTGGAAGATTTAAGTAAACTTTTGTAAACAAAACTCAAATACTCTTAATTTGTTTATATATATATATATTAATCAGCATTGCAGCAGTTTTGTAGGGTAGTTAATAGAGACAGCAGATCTTTTTTAAATATTCATTCCAAAAATATTTATTTTTGTGCGGAAAAGTAGAAGAGTGTAAATGGGCTTATTAATTAAAAATAAGTGCATGATAGATACCTGGTAAAGAATATATGGCAAATGTTAACTTGTAGAAGCTAGGCAATATATATGTAGATGTTAACATATAATTTTTTCATTGTTGCTTTATTCCTGAAAATTTTAATATAAAGTTAGGAGAAAGTGATGCTACATTTTAATCATTCAGTTATTGTCAGTTCATTTGAGCATTTTTTTTTTATAGCAAACTAGCCATATTACTTTACTGAAATTGTTACAGATGCCAGAGTGGTACAGTTCGAACAAACTGCTTGGATTGTCTTGATAGAACAAACAGTGTGCAGGCATTCCTTGGCTTAGAGGTAAAAAAAATTAAATGTTTGTGCCTTGTGCCATATGCTTCCTTGAGTACATTTGTAATAACTCTGTTTCTCCTTAGTTATTTTTCAGAAAATAATGTAGCTGTGTCATTTCTTCATGCCTTTTCCCCCTCCTAAATTCCTTTTGATTTAAATGTTTCTTCCATCTGTTTTTCATGTGCTCTGAAGATAGCTGTCATCCATTTCCTTCTATTGTTCCTTAATACTTCCTTTTAAAAATTGGTATTTGCATGCAGGCAAAACACTCATACACATAAAATAAAAATAATGAAATAAATCTTTAAAAATTAAAATAAAAATTTTGAACCCTGGTATTAGTATTTTAGTAATAGTCGCTTCTTTTGCCTTTCTTTTGAAAAAAAAATGCATGCGTTTGGTCTTTATGTCGTTGTTTTCCATATTTTAGGACAGAGAGAATCCATTTTTACATGTACAGTCTTATAGGATTTTTTGATACTTTGGAACTCAGTAAAGTTTGACATTATCAAACCAATAGCTACAAAAATAAAATTAATGAGTTAATTAATTAGGGAACAAATGAAAATGCCATTGCTAGCCAAAGTGAAAAATGCCTAAGAGTTCTTTTAAGACCTTTAAAGCTTTTTTTTTTTTCCTTTCCTTTACTGTTTATCAGTCGAATTCAGTATAATACAGACATAGTCTCAGCCATTTGACAAACTGTACAGCAATACTGATCTTCCCCAAGTCTTCTGTTAAGTGAGTTAGGATCATAAAGTAATGGTGGGTCTTTGACATGGGGAGAACTTAGTTCTCAAGTACTGTAATGACAGGAATAGAAAGTAACTTTCTTTCTAGTTAATGACCTTAAATTTAGCCAGTGTGTTGGTTAATTAATTGCTTTGCAGCTCACTTTCTGTCTCATAATGCAAGTACAGTTGTATAAAAGTCTGTGCTGCACAGATACATTTTGTGTGACTAAATAAAATTTACTGTTTTGACTTTTTTTAAAAATCTGTTAAAGTTTCTAATTTATTTTTAAAATATGACAGAGATGAACTCTGACAGAAGGCTGGTCATAAATTTAGATGGAGTTTATCACATGGCTCAGGTTTGTTTCAAGTTCTGGTTTTAAGGGGCTGAATACATTTATGTGAATTCTGCCTAAGCTTAGTGAAATTCTTAAACTCTTGGTTGAACTTTTACCAGGTGTTAATTTTCAGTCCTTCTTAGTTGACTCTCACTATTGTTAGTTAGATCTAAGAATGTTCCCTTTTATTTAGGCAAAAACAAACCATTAAAATAGTTTAAATCAGTTTCTTCTACTTTTTTGAAGAGAGAAAGGTTTAGCAATACAGGAGATCCTGGGGGCTTATTTTATTCTCCATGTGAACACAGAATAGCTGTGGTATAAGTCTTTACTAACAAAATAACCGTGTTGAGGGGTAATGATGATGATTATTATTATTGTTATTGTTATTTTATAATTACAGATAATTAGCACACCTAACAGATACAAAAAAAAATGGGAAGAAGTATAGTAAAATTGCAAGGTATTGAGGACTGTTGAATTTTAAGTAAGAAAAACAGACTGCATAAGAATTGTGCATTTCTTCACCAGATGCACAAGTAGTGGGGAACGGCTGGGGTGCCGACAACACAGCAGACAGTAGCAGGGATATCAGAGTATAAGGGCTCTAGTAGGGGGAGAGAGGCTATGGGAGGGTGCTATCTGGGAAGTGGGTATATAGTTGAATAAGATGGTTTGGGAGGTTCTGTGTGATAGACACACACACACACACATACACCAAAAAAATAAATCAACAAATTTTTTAAAATGTACTATATTTGAGGAGGAAGCATGGAAATTTACATCAAGCTAATTAGTAGAGGTGATAAACATTACCATTGAAATCTACCCAATGATTTTATAGACATACACAGGCGCCAAGGATCCAAGTGCAACTGATTATGACTAGTAATAGATACACACAGATTAGAGATGCATGCGCCGACATCTCAGTGTTAGTAGCAAAAACCATGAGTCTTTCTGCAAGGAACAATATATTCTAAAATGAAATGGAGATCTTTTTTAAAGGTTAAAGACTCATTCAATTTTATGTCTTTCGGGGCTTATACTGAGTCCAATATTGTATAACTGTATTAATTCAACTTTGACCCAGAAACTTACAACCACTTGTGAAAGAGATGTACTCTTGCTATGGAGTGTGTTACTGAATATGTTAAAGCTGTAGTGAAATGCTGCTTCTAATCATGTAGTTATTAAAAATTAAAAAAGAAAACTACATTTTTTTGACACTGCCAGATTTCAAGGCTAGAGTTCGCACACAGTAAACATCACTCACTTTTGAACACTTTTGTTGCCATTTGGGTTGGAGGCATTGTGGCTCAGGGGTCCTTGAAACCATTGCAAAAGGCTGCCGTGACTTTATTAAGAGCTCCTTTGTGACAGTTTAAGAGCAGCTCCTTTTCTCATCATTGCTTTGCCTTAATTAACCAAACTTCTAGAACCAAATTTCAGAATTAAACTTATTTCCATACATTTAGGTAAACTGGGTAAATATCTTCCTCTTTTTCTACTGCACACTGGTAATTAGCTAGATGTGGGGGCAGGGTGACAAAAGATAAACTGCTCTGACTATAACAACACTGTAAGGTTAACTTATGGAAGCATGACTTCTCATTTTCATCTTTATTTCCAAATCTACTTTCTCATCTGAATCTTCTAAATTGCCATTTTACCTTAAAAGTTTTACCTTAGAAGTTGAAATTGTGGGAAACAACATAGCCTAGTAATGTACTTCCAGAGTCCTATTACTATAAATTTTAGGTTCAATACTTAACCAGAGTCCTATTACTATAAATTTTAGGTTTAATTTTCATAGTTCTTAAAAGTGACATAATTAATCTGTTACAGTATATATTTTAAAAATTCTCATTTGCTGTTTTAGTTGCTAGCTAAACAATTGGAAGCTCTTGGCTTAGCTGAAAAGCCTCAGTTGGTGACACGCTTTCAAGAAGTTTTCCGGTCCATGTGGTCTGTGAATGGTGATTCAATCAGTAAGATATATGCAGGAACTGGAGCTCTTGAAGGAAAGGCCAAGGTAGATACATGTCTATCATGCGCTAATGCAGATCTCTTCAGAAACCTTGGAAAAGATATTTTTTAACTAAAAGGTTTTTAAAGTGAACAGATCCTTTTTAGAATTCTGTTTTATCATGCTTTTATGTCCTCTAATACATCCTTCCACAGTAGTAGATACTAATGATTAAATGCAACATAGGCATTTCTTTAGGCTTAAGGGGTAAGTGTACTTTTAGAGATAATCCACCTTGTATTATTTACTTTATACAGTTTAATATTGTGTACCTCTTTCACATTTTAGATTGCTTATATTTATTTTAAATAAGATTTTTTAATCTGTGGTCTTAATAAAGTGTCCTGTCTCAATTGTTTTTTTGTCTCCTGCACTTGAGAAAGTGCCTCCTACTTAGTAGGTGTGTGATAAATAGCAAGTGGCCATACACTCCCTCACCCCCTCCCATACACTTTAGTTTATGCTAGAGCTACAGTGAACCCAATAGTACTTGGGCCTGTTAAATTTTTGCATTCTGTTTATTTTACTTTTCAAAGGAGGCTATTAAAATGTGCAAAAAAAAGTGTGAGATATGAACTTATAAGTTTGAGTCTCATCATGACTTTGCAGTTGCTTATATTATCTTTAAACTATTTTCTTCTCTAATATTTGACCCTTATTGCGGGATTGGATCTACACTTGGGATGTTCTTTATGATTTTATATACTTAAATATTGTTTAACTTTTTAAGGGACCCTGGCCTTAATTGCATTTACCCTAAATCTCTACAATTCCTCAGGTTGATTTGGATATAAATGAGAACATTTAGCTGGGCATGGTGGTGCATGCCTATAATCCCAGCACTGGTGAGGCTGAGACAGGAGAATTACCATAGTTTCAAAACCAGCCTGGGCTATAGTAAATGCCAGACCTGCCAGAGTTATTAATTACCAAGATCCTGCCTGAACCAAACCAAACCAGCCAACCAAACCAAAACGCCCCCCACAAAACAACAAAAAAGAGAGAACATTAACATTGTAAAGGCTCTCATCTGCTTCTTCAGCATAGCAGCTGAAATCCTGTGAAGATCATCTGAAGTCTTACTTCCAAATCTGCCTCTGCTGAATCTTGTAAAATGTCATGCCTCCCCTGCAGGCATTGGCTTCCCTGCAGAGTGCCTTTCCTTCACCTCTTAGGGACAGTTGGTAATGACTTTTATAGGTCCTTACTTCCTAAAGTGCTTTCTTTTGAAAACTTGAAAGTGCTTGACTTTCATTTATTCCTTTTAAATAGAAAGCATAATTCTTGCTATTAAAATCTGACTTGCCAACTGTTGCTTTCAAGTATTCTTTTATTTCTTCTATCTTTTTGCTTCTGCTTGTAACTAAGACAATATATGTACAGAGGTTACATATATTTTCAATGGTCTTTTATCTTTAACAAAATATATAGATATGAAATATATATTACTATTAAATATACTAGTCTGAATTGAGCTAAAATCTAACATCTGAACTGCTTCTTTCTTTTCCTTTCTCTGGGCTCCTTTTGGTTAATTGCCTGATAATGTGAATGGTGAGTGGTTTTTTTTTTTTTTTCAGTAACATCATTTTATATATTATATGGAAGAAAATAATGATTTGACTCCAGATTAAATATAGTAGCACTCGTTTAGTGACATATAAGAAAACTGACTTTTTGTTCTGAAAGAGGTCTGTAATTACTATTAATTCTCTAAGGAATGAAACGTATGCATTCAAAACCAAAGTTATTTTTGACAGCCAAAATCTGTAAGATCAAAATTAGTATTCGCCTATAATTAATTTGCCTAAGTGAAATATATGTTCATTAAAACTTACAACCAACCCTCTCACTATAGGAATGGATATTTTATTTTTATGATTTTTATTTGTATAGGCCACAAAATGACTTCAAAATGCAAACAAGTTTGTATATAATATTTATGAGATGTAATTACAAGTTTATCTTTAAACTAGACCTTCAATTTTAGGCTCAGTTTTATTTTTAACTATTATTTGGGAGCAGTTTCATTTTTATGCTACAAAGTTTTTCTAGGAGCATGTAAGTTCAGTGCCTCATCCTGGGTCCTTGCTACCTCTCCCCACGTACCCTATCACCACATTTAAAAGTTATGGAATTTTCTTGACTTAAATAAGTACGTTTTAAAGTTTGCTTTATGGTAATATTTACTGCTCTAGATATCGATAGATGCACCCGTAGCATTCAGTTTATTTTCTTTGTGCAGAACTAGTTATCCAAAAGAAAAAAAGGAAACAGTGACATCTCAAGGTCTTTTAATTTGGTTATACATTTAAAACAATGATTGTAAAATCAATTTTCTAAAAAAAATTAAAAATAACAAAATGCTTATTGAGTAAAATTAAGAGTATTTAGAATGAAGGCCCATGTTCCTTTTTCTCTTAACAGGCTGGAAAGTTAAAAGATGGTGCTCGTTCTGTCACCAGAACGATTCAGAATAACTTCTTTGACAGCTCCAAGCAAGAAGCCATTGATGTTCTGCTCCTGGGAAATACTCTTAATAGTGATTTAGCTGACAAAGCTCGAGCACTTTTAACTACTGGAAGTTTGCGTGGTATGCATACTTTATATTTATTTACTCTATTTATAATTCTAAAAACTCCAGGAAGTAAATATAAACTTGTTTGCATAAATATTTTTTAGGTTGTAGTTGATTAAAATAACCTTGGAGCCAGGCATGGTGGCGCACGCCTTTATTCAGGCCAGCCTGGTCTACATAGTGAGTTTCAGGACAGCTGGGGCTACAGAGAGACCCTATCTCAAAAAAAAGGACCAAAATAAATAAATAAATAAATAAATAAATAAATAAATAAATAAATAAA